AAAAAAGATAATGGTCAACATGTTATTCGTACCTTATTTAAAAGTTGATTAATTAATTGACACGATATTAATGGGGTGTCTGTTATATAATGTGTGTTTAAATTACAACGGAAACCTATGAACTGACTGAAGTGTTCAGTTCGTACAAAAGAACTAAAACAAAAAATTAAATTACAACTCGAATGCGGAGAGATTTGAGCCGAGGCGATTGAAATCTATCCGCAAGACAAATACGCCCCGTGTAGTGCTGACGGGTCAGTGTGTAATGTCCCCAAAGATACAACGGCTTTAGCACTCGGAAGCTGTAGCACACCAGCCTTCAGAGTCCAGTCGAACAAGAATGAAGTCGAGAACCGAGAACTATGATATGATGCGTGAGGCTTTGAGAGTATCAGATTGCATGAAAATGTTGTGTATTTTCCACTTGCAGCTCTAAGTCCTATTTATAGGACTTCCACATCTTGAGGGAAACCAGAAGTCATATCTGCCACTTAAGGCAGAGATAATGGGCATAAAACGTTTTGAGGTGTTAATTCACCATTAACCTGGAGTTATCACCATTGACTAGTAATCAACACCATTAACACAAGGTCAGGTGTTACATTTCACATGAAAGGTCATGTGTCCAGATCCATTGTACCTGGAGAGGTATCACTCGGGTTGGGTCCAAACCCGAGACCAAATCTAAATTGGATTTTTCAGTTGGGCCTAAAATTGCAAATAAATTTGCAGCAAAAAGATATATAGTGATTGGGCCCAAGGCCCAACCGCCCAAGGCCGCAGCCCAAAGTCCAATTGCCAAGGACCAAGGACCAGGTCCCAGGCCCGTGCCCGTACCGGCGGGCGCGCGCGCGCGTGTGGCCGAAAACAACACCAACACTTGGTGCATAGCTTTGTTCTTGTTGTAACCTCTCCAACTCTCTTTATTATAATAAAGAGAGTTAAACTCATTTAAGAGTCCAATGTGGGAGTGACTCTTGACCCTTCAAATCCCACAACCAACGTTTTAGTTTTGAGAAAATAAACATACCACGAGTATCTACTCGGAACGTAGAATTTTTCTACAATATTTAATTCAACTCAAATTAAATATTTAGCCATCAAAAATTCAGTCAAACCGGGTCAAACCCAAGTTTTACAACTGATTTTTCCAACAGTGTCGTACTCCCGTCTTTCTAGTCCAGTGAGCTTTCTAGGCCCTTGATCTCTTTCTTTGTACCAAAAAAAAAGTTGATTGACACAAATACAAAGAACGACTTTTTTTTTT